ATAATTAGAAGTATCTTCAAGGTTAGGAAGTTAAAACAGTGGGATAATTAGAAGTATCTTCAAGGTTAGGAGTTAAAACAGTAGGATAATTAGAAGTATATTCAAGGTTAGGAGTTAAAACAATGGAATAATTAGAGCTTTATTAACAACCGATTAAATGGTTTCAAATATTCTAGTTTTATTAATGAACAATACTCACTTGTAACAGTTGTTGTAAAACGGATTGTAGGAAGACAAGGTTATGAGACCACCCCAAGCTGGACTAAGGGCAAAGAAGATCTGGACAGCTGCGTCTCCCCAAACCTTATAGCATTACGTATACAGAAGCATTTTAGTAAGTTTATTTTAGAATATTCTTACATTACAACATCACACAAGTTTTCCAAGAAAACCGTGATCTACAGCCTTGCATGGATAGTAATACCTTATTTATTAAAATTACAGTTCACCGTCACTGTACCAAGTACGGGGTTACAGTTCATTGTCACTGTACCAAGTGCGGGGTTACAGTTCATTGTCACTGTACCAAGTACGGGGTTACAGTTCATTGCTTCTGTACCAAGTACGGGGTTACAGTTCATTGCCTCTGTACCAAGTATGGGGTTACAGTTCATTGTCTCTGTACCAAGTACAGTGTTACAGCTTATTCTCTCTGTACCAATTACAGGGTTACAGTTAATTGTCACTGTACCAAGTACAGTGTTACAGCTTATTCTCTCTGTACCAATTACAAGGTTACAGTTCGTTTTCTCTGCACCAAGTACGGGGCTACAGCTCACCAAGGCTCTGTAACAAGTACAGTATTACAGCTCTGTAAGAAACAGTATTACAGCTCACTATAGCTCTGTAACAAGTACAGTATTACAGCTCACTAAAGCTCTGTAAGAAACAGTATTACAGCTCACTAAAGCTCTGTAACAAGACAGTATTATAGCTCACTAAGGCTCTGTAACAAGTACAGTATTACAGTTCGCTAAGGCTCTGTAACAAGAAAGTATTATAGCTCACTAAGGCTCTGTAACAAGACAGTATTATAGCTCACTAAGGCTCTGTAACAAGTACAGTATTACAGTTCGCTAAGGCTCTGTAACAAGTACAGTATTACAGTTCGCTAAAGCTCTGTAACAAGTACAGTATTACAGCTCACCAAGGCTCTGTAACAAGTATAGTATTACAGTTCACTAAAGCTCTGTAACAAGTACAGTGTTACAGTTCACCTGATGTTTGTAACAAGTACCATGACAAGCACAAAGCTAGAAAAAAAAATCTTGGCATAAATTCAGAACGTAACGTATTCTGTCTTTCCATTTACATAGGTTAGAGAATATATATAATCGAATCATAACACTAGTATTAGCATTGGAGAAATGTTTACAGTGAATATTGAAGGAGAACAATTCACCATACCTGAGCTTTCATTAACCGACTCCAGACGGGTGTTATATACCAAAGAATCCCCTCTTTAGCCCCTGGAAGGGTGACTCCACGAATGAACATGATTACCAAAACCAAATACGGGAAAAGTGCCGTAAAATATACCACCTGAACAAAAAATATAAACTCACGTAAAATATACCACCCGAATAAAAATATAAACTCACGTAAAATATAAAATCACGTAAAATATACCACCTGAATAAAAATATAAACTCACGTAAAATATACCACCCGAATAAAAATATAAACTCACGTAAAATATAAAATCACGTA